GATATTTGAAAATTCGGAAGCTTGAAAGATTGAAGTTTGAACGTTTGAAAGCTTGAAAGTTTAGATGTTTGAAAATTTGGAAGGTTGAAAGTTTGAAGGATTGGGTGTTTGGAAATTTGGAAGCTTGAAGGTTTGGAAGTTTGGGAACTTGAACGTTTGAAAGCTTGAAAGTTTAGATGTTTGAAAATTTGGAAGGCTGAAAGTTTGAAAGATTGGATGTTTGAACATCTAGAAGCTTGAAAGTTTGAATGTTTGGTAGTTTGGGAACTTGAAAGGTTAAAACCTTGAATATTCTAATGCTTGAAAATTCCAAACTTCCTTCAATTTAAAAACTTCAAAACTCAACGAACTTGAAAACTTAAAAACTCACAAACTTAAAAGTTTCAAAATCTTAATACAAACACATACTGCCCACATACCTCCCGCGCACGTTTTCCACCGTGAAATCTGGATAAACAACCCAAGGGTCAGCGCAAGCAGAACACCTCATAGCCGACAAAAAGATCCCGAAAAGCGATTGAAGCTTGAAGATCCTCTAACCAAAGGCTATCGCGATTTCACGCGGCGAGGAATACTCACGGACGGTGCCTGTGTTGAGAGGTAGCCGCGTAACTTCGACTATGGACCGGTACTTGTAGAGGGCATGCCTAATATCCTCTTCGGGTAATTCTTCAGGTACGTCCAAAACGTAGACGGTGAATGTCTTTGCCGGTCTGCAGGGTATGGCAACCTGCGTTCATGAATACGAAACGTCGTATTTAGAGCGGTTTGAAGAGGGAGGAGGGTCCTTTGTGTACCGAAAGATAAGTACCTTCTTGTAGAACCGTGCCCCGGTGACTTTGTGGAAGCCCTTTTTGTAGACCGCCTGAAAATCGTCGATGTTGCTGAACTTGAAGAGTATACCGGTCGCCGTCTTCGTCAAGGAGAACGCGCCACTGTAATGCAAAGCGAGAACGATGTTTTATCTCCGCGGCCTTTTCACTCTTATTTCTCGATCTCTCCCCTGCTTCCTCTCTCCCTCTCTCTCTCTCTCTCTCTCTGTCTCCCTTTATCGCCCTTGTTCCCGCGTTTCCATCCCCACCACCGGCTCGCAAGCTCGTGGCTGGATTTTATCTTGTTTGCTGAGCTCCTCTATCGAGCAATTATCGCTTCGACTTTTCTCGGGGTAATTTTATTCCGAAATGAAGACATGGCTTATCTTAATTGTTGTGATCCACTGGAAATTAACCTGTTGACCGGGGCTCTACGAATGAACTCGCAATTTGTATTCTGTGCTTTGGTGGAAATTGGTTTCTTTATTTATGTACCTGGAGATTGTACGATTGTGTTAGGTTTAGGAGACTCGAATGGTTGATAATTTTTAGATTTTAGAACATTTGAGTTTAACGTTGTTGGATTAATTCCGTTTATTTTTTATATATCCCGATTGTTAAATATGTCACTTAAATTCATTAGATTCATTAGGTTAGATAATTCTGCAAATATATTTTAATAAATTTTGAACATCTTTATTTAATCTTATTTCCGGATCACACTTTTCCTTTGTCCAAGAAATTTTGCTGGCATATGTTTTCGCGCCTCGTTTCAACGGTTTAAATAGCCGTTTCAATATTTCCTTTTGTTTTTAATTATGCAATTCTGTTAATGACACTGGTTGGACCGACGCGTCTCGGGCAGCGTCAGCGACTGTCCGGAAATAAATTGCAATTTTCACGTATGATATTTTAGAGCCGAGTATATATCATTTTAATTGAAACAAATTCATTTGTTCGAATTAAACAACGCTGAAGTTCATAAATGTTAGTCGTATGGAATAAAAATTATTAATATGCATATAAATTTTATCAACATACACTCTACGATAAAACAATTTAGAACAACGAAGAGCAATACTCTCCGTTATCGTTAAAATTAGATAAGTCTATCAATGGTTTATTACGTGGCGCAATTATAGCAGGCTATAATTAGTTGAGAGCCATTCGATTCTATCGACCAATTATTTTTCGAAGTCATTTAATTCTAAAATTGGAACCGGTCTATTTCAGCGTTCGCAGGTCAATAAAACTGAATAGAAAGGATCAAATGTAGAAATTCGATATGCTCTTACTAATTAACAAATGTTTTGAAAGCACAGAATAATTTCGTTAGGTTTGAAAGGAAATTAGCGTTATTGTATTGTGCGCTTTAATGCAGCCTATAAGTGTACCCCCGCGTAATTAGACTGCGATGATTAACGGTTCTGATCGGCACATTTGTTTCAATATTGTCCTTTGCGGTACGCTAATTCGTTTCAATTACCATAGATACCTTGATGCACCGTTACATCAAAACACTTTGTTTTGTTCCAGAATCGACAGTTCAATCCTCGAGTAACTTTAGTTTCGGTAGTAGTACGTTAAACAATTATCTGTTGTAATTATTATCTTTACTACATAACACAGAAAATTAACGTTCATTAATCCATTTGGATTGTTTAATTATAGTACTGTAACTGCACCTAATTTATTTGAAATAACAAGAAACTCACTGTAATCCTTTTCTACATTTTACATAGAAACTACCAATATAACAATATAATATAAAAGCTTAATTCCACACAAAACGTACATTCAAAAATATAGAATTTTCGAATAATGGTACTTTCAAATGCATCTAGTAATGTGTCTGACCAATGCTCGCTGCTTCTACTCAAAATATGAACTGCCATTATTCTACTCACTTCCATTAAAATGATTACATCTCAACACTCGTCTCAATGAATCCACTGCCCTCGTTACACATAAAATATTATCAAATTTTCGTAATTAACACTAAAACTACCAAGCAGTCAGGTTAACTTTTCAAAATTTTTCCATCGAAATCCCAAGAGCGCATCTATCGAGACATCGATCACTCAGAACTTAGTTTACGTATTACTAAAACAATTTCTTTAGAAATTTCCTAGAGAAGGACCTATTGTTTTTTCAATAATAGTAAAAGAAAAACTTAGGAGTGGGTCATTTGGACCAATCTAGTAGTTCTAGTGTTAATCAAATAACAATCAACAACAATTTCTTTAGAAATTTCCTAGATAAGGATTTATTGTGTTTTCAATAACTGTAAAAGAAGAACTTAGGAGTGGGTCCTTTCGACCCATCTAATAGTTCTAGTGTTAATCAAATAACAGTCAATAACAATTTCTTTAGAAATTTGCTAAACAAGGATCTATTGTTTTTTAATAATAGCAAAAAATAACTTAGGAGTGACTCATTTCGACCAATCTAATAGTTCTAGTGTTAATCAAATAACAATCGAAAAAATTTCTTTAGAAATTTCCTAGGCAAGGATCTATTGTTTTTTCAACAATAGTAAAAGAAGAACTTAGGAGTGAGTCATTTCGACCCATCTAGTAATTCTAGTGTTAATCAAATAACAATCAAAACAATTTCTTCAGAAATTTCCTAGACAAGGATCTATTGTTTTCTAATAATAGCAAAATAATAACTTAGTGAGTCATTTCGACCAATCTGGTAGTTCTAGTGTCAATCAAAGAATCACTAGTGCCAACCTTCCGATTAACAAATTCACCGGAATATTTACCGGAAGTTCATCTTCTCGCAAATAGTCGCCGCCTTCTCGATGCTCAGCTCGTGGCTGGGCGTCAGCAGGAACGCACCCTTAGTCAGGAAATCGGTCTCGCTGATCTCCGAGTCGGTGTCCTGGTCCTGCCAGTCGGCCGACCCGCGACGATCCTCCTGGTTCAGTCTCAACAGCGAGCTGCTTTTCGACGTGGACATGTCGTTTTCGCACGTGCCACTGGCGTCCTGTCCCTTCTGAGACATCTTTTTATAGGCCGACGAAGTGGGATCGGCTGGCTCGACGGACGAATGTAACCCGTTACGCGAGATCGACTCCTTGGCGACTACCAACGGGACCGGACATACGCTCTTGACACACTGCTCGCCAGTTACGCACCGATACGCCCCTTTTATATTCGCCGGTAGCACCGCGGTCGCGATCGCCGGGGACTCTGCCCACGATCTTGCTCGTCTCGGTCCGTGATCGTATGAAAAACGCAATGCCACTGATGAGGCGCAGTTGCGATGGGAGAATTGAAGTCGGGAATTCCAAAACAGTAGAAGTGTACTTCTTAAGTTCCGTGGCACTTGTACCGCGTGTGGTACACGCCAATTTTTGTGAGAAAATATTTTTAAGGGACACATGATCACGGATAGTGGTATACGTTATAAAGCAGTGAAAACATGAGGAAACAATATCAAAATATATGAAAATGACCAAAAACTTGAATATAAGTTAATATTTTATTTAAAACATCAATACATAAGCAAAATATAACCGAAGTTTCCGTGGCACGGAACGTGTTAATATTGTCCGTGTGTATCGATAGTTTAAAATATTCGATTTCTAATTTTTTTTCAATATTTCTTTATCTTTTAATATTGAATCTGTTAATCGTTAATGATTGTATTTATAATTGTTGGTAGCTGGTAGATAATTGTAGAGTATACGTTATAATTCAGATATAGATATAAATCATTAAATAACATTGATCACCGCATATTGGATTCGACTCCAGATTTGATTTGAGTATATAATTTAATAATGTTCGTTAAATATTTGATATACTTTAATGAGCATCGTGAAATGATTTGTATATTTTTATATAGACATCGCTATTTCGTATATTTTATTCATTGTCATTCATGGAAGTTATGATTCAATTATGAACAATCGGGAGCCAATAAGCTGCATTGTCTTCTGTCATAATTCATTTTCATTTTATCGAAACAATTCGAACATTGAATGCTAGGTAGATGGTTATTAACAGAAAAAAGGAGATATTTTATTGACTAAACATTATTAATGTTTCCTGCGCGGCGCGTGACACGTCATTTAACATCCATTTTCGGACTGCACAGATCCGAAGGGTTTAAATCAATTTCTCCATGCATCGTTAACTCGGTGATGATGCATTACTTGCCCGTGCCTCGGGCACGATTTTTTAATAAGCCTCTAATGTATTAAAAATACATTATGTCGAGTAGCTATAAATCCCACCCTCATCCTTAACGAGTGTTCATCGCAAAAACTGAGAAGGTCTGCATCTTAGAAGTAAGAAGCTCGCGAATAAAATGGTACTGGGCATAATTGATCAGCAAATTAGACAAAGATTTATCGTTTCCAACTGAGACGCTGAGCTTCCCAAAGAAATTCATGTTTATTTCTTCCGCGGACAATAAAAGAACGATTCAAAGAAACCTGCTGGAAGTCCGTAGAACGGTAAAACTACTAATTGCATAAAAACCTAACAGAAAACAATTTTCCATATTTTATTAAAACATAAACATAACGAAAATATTCACTTCACTCTTACTTTCCTCTATAAATGTTATGAACATCTTGTTGAAAACTCATTTCAACCAATCTTAAAACTTTCTTCCGATCACCCTAAATCTACAACGAACCTACAAGAATACCAACAACTGCCTACTTCCACAAAGGAAAAATATACATTAGAATTTGAATAATCCCACTTCGTTAAGAATTAATCCCAGCAGTCGGATCCGTTTCCAAGAGCACTTAAATCACTACAAGTGAAAATAAAGCGAAGTGAAATCAGAAAATGCTCTCGGTGCTCGCGAAACTTCGGCAGTCGAGTTGCCGGGGCTGAGCAACGCGGAGTACGCTCGCGTTTAAACAACTTTTCGACTGGGGGCCGGGTCGGAGTAGCGTCTTCGCTAACGCCGCAGAGCTTAAATCTCATTCAAAGATACTTGGCCTACAATGCTAGCCGAAAGCTCCAATTAACGCGGCTTTATCGAACTCTCTAAGGGGTGACAACGGCGCCGAGTCGGTACACAAAGACGCAAACAGGCGTGTACACTGGGTAA